TCGTCTGAGTCTTTACTCACAATTCTTTCCCCGGGGATCCCTCTCCTACGGCCATCCCAAGGACTGCTTTGCATGACTTCCTGTCTTCTCAAACATCAACTGACAAAATTAAAGGATGTCGCCAAGAGCACCACTTCCCTTCTCATCATCTTGAGTCAGTGCCTGTGTTGCCGTGGACAACCTCTCAAGTTAACAAATTCTGAATTTTTATCAGATTCAGCTACGAAGAGGACCTGTTCTTATGGGTTTGATCTTATCCTCATCCTGAATCTCGCCAGCAGTCAAACCTCACGTGCATGTTAGAGAAGCAGGCAGCTTTCAAAACCCTGCATTGCTGTTCCTATGAGAAGCCATCATCACTGCTGGGACCCCATTCTGATGGATGAGCAGAAAGCCAGTGGCCTGGTGCTTCTGGGAGGCCACAAAAGAGCTCTTTGTCCTCCCCTCGGAATCCCGAGGATGCCCAGATGCCCAAACTGTCCAGGCCAAAGCTTGAATTTGGAACCGAATCCTGGACCATGGGTGGTGTCCTGCCATTTCCCTTGTTCCTCTGGGACCCTGACAGAGACCCTGCCCACCTTCTAATTGGCACAGTTACCATCACTTGCTTCTGCCTCCGTGCCACTCAGCTTTCCATGACCGTCACCAATCCCTGAGGTGATCAGTTTATCAAGAGGAAACGTTTATTCTGGCTCATAGCTCTGGAGGTTTCAGTCCATGACCCTGAACTTGGCCCTGTGGCTTTGGGTCCACGGTGGCACAGTAAGTACATCATGGGAGCATGTGGTGTTGGAGGCCTGTTCACCTCATGGCCCCGAATAAGAGAGAGAGAAAGAAAGGGGTTGGGGTTCCACTATCCCCTTAGAAGACCTCCCATGAGGCTTACCTCCTAAAGGGTCCACCACCCTCCAATAGTGCCAAGCTGGGGACCCAGCCTTCCCACATGGGATTCCGGGGAACATTCTAGATCCCAGCCATGGCATCCTCTGAGAAGAAAGGGTATTCTGAGAATTCTGACTACTGTCTTCCTGAGGTCACCAGCTCTCCTTATGGCCACTTAACTTACACCGTGGCCTAGTTCCATGGGGCAGAACTGGGGGGAGGCCTTCCATGCTGCCCACGGGGTTTTCCTCTTCATGGGCAGATTGGCTGTTCCTCCCCCACCATGCCTCCCCAACATGGTGGAGTGAGTGCTCATGAAGAAACACACTATTCCTTCCAAGGAAAAAGCCTGTAATTAACCGAGATTCTGGGAAGAACATTCTGCTTCTTCTCCCACTCACTTTTTCATTTAACATATTTTATCAGAATGAAATGCCTTAATGAGCACGGAAATGCAGCTGATCCCAGCTGAACCTCTGTGCGCCCATCAGGCTGTGCCACCCACACCATGCTGTAGCTTTCAGAGCAGCAGCCCAACCCTGATGGGAAATGTGGGGACTTCCTGCAGGCAGAGACAGCCAAAGGCAGACCCCACTGTCTGGGCTGGATGCAAGTTTCATGTGTGTGTGTAAGAAGTGGAGTGGGGTGTGTGTGTGCTCGCGTGTGTAAGCAAGCCCGTGTGCTGAGCTCTTATGTAACAATGTGGAATCTGTTTGGAAGAGATAAACCTTTTATAGACGCCAGACTGGAGCTCCCATCTTCCATTCACAACAGATGCATCTTCACCCAAGCATCCAGCCGGGTGGACGCGGTGGGAGAGCCTGCTGCACCTCCAGGCTGGGGAGCTCTGACAGCCACAGTAAGCAGAGTCCACACAGTGCTGGGCCAGTTCGGGGTGTGAGCTGAGAGCACCCTGTGTGGGGTCCCCACTGGGACTGCTTCCTCCACCCTCCTCCACCCCATGCACTTCACGATAGTGAAGCCTGCTGTGTGCCAAGGTGGCCTGAATACCAGGGATCCAGGCCTGGCCTCTGCTTCAGGAGGCCGGTCCTTACGCAATAAGGAAGTAGGTGGATAAATAGTGAGTATGAGCTCAGAGAACACAATGCACCATGGAGAAAGTGAGGCAGGACTGTGGAATAAAGAAAGGCAGGCTCGGGGAGGGATTGGTAAATCAGAGTGGCCTCACGGCTGTGGGTTCTGTAGGACAGTGAGCCATTGGGTAGGGAAGGACACAGGCTGGTCTCATCCCTTAGAGACCTGTCACAGCAGAGACCAGCCGCCCACAAGCAAACTCCTCCTGCTCTCAGGTATGGGGCTGGACTGAGCTCCTGCTGTCAAGCAGGTGTGGTCATGTGACCAGGCTCTGGCCAACTGGACATAGACACAGCAGATGCAGGCCACTCCTAAGGCTGGCCAGGCCCCAGACTCAGCCTGGATGTGGTACAGAGCCCTCTTCCCACAATGAGCAAAAAGTAACTCCTTTAGTGTGAAGTTTGGAAATTTTGGGCATGTTCCTTATAGCTGTTGAGCAATCCTTACACACTGGATTTTGGAGTGCCATTCCTGACCTAGAGGTAGCACTCTGGACGGGGTGCTGAACAAGCCAGAATGTACCATGGCAGTACTAGACTTTAAGATAGGGGAGCCGCCTCAGTGAAGCTGCCTAGAGGCTTCTGTCCTGAGGAATTTTCAGTTTTTCTCATTCTGACACTTATAGCCGGATCATATCTCCTGTCTCCACTTTCAGGGTTTAGAAACATCACCTGTAGGAGTCTTAGGACACCTGCCTTCTGCCACTGTCTCCAGCCACACCTCCTAAGGTTTGCGCTGATCTGGGAGGGAGCCAATGTCCCTGCTTTGCAGCTGTTCAAATGGGAAAGCCATGTCCCTGAGGGACTTCAGAGAAGAAAGGTCCCTAGCACCAGACAACTCAGCCATCAGGGGACCTGGGCCTCCGCTGTCTGGGGGCAAATGGCCCTTCTCTTAGGCCTGACCCAGCCCCACTTCCTCAGCCTCAGATGCTTCCTGGCCAGGTAGAAAGTTCCAGATGTCTTTTCCTTCACAAATAACAGCAGGGGGGCAGTCAGGAGCAGTGAGGTCACCAGATGGCACCCAGCGGGCATCCTTCTGGGGCACTGCTCTGTCCAGTGACCTCCTGCTTTGGTGCTTTTTACAAGCCTGTCCCCCAGTGGGAGTAGAGGACGAATGACCCACATTTTGGTCCTAAGAAACCCTGCAAGCCAGGACCACAGAGTATTTCAGCAGTGCTGACATCTGGGCCAGTTCCCGAACATACCTTCTTTGGTGTGTGAGCAAGTGGGAGCCCTCAGCTTTCTTTACTCGCTCGCTCAAGAAATGATGTGCCTGCTGTGTGCTCCCGAGGACGACACGGGGCAGAGCTTTCTGGACTCTGGGAATGAGTTGGATTGGTGGCTGTCAAATTATGGTTCATGGGCCAAATCTGGCCCACTGCCTGTTTTTGTGAATATGGTTTTAGGGACACTCAGCCACATCTGAAGTACCTGCATTGCTCCGGCTGCGCTCACATGGGGCCTCAGAGCCTGCAGTGTTTGCAGACTGGCTCTTCTAAGCACAGGCTCACAGACCCTGATAAGAGTGATGACTTTTTCCTGGCAGGGATTTTTGGAAGCACAGATGCTGAGCAGCACAGTCGGAGCCTCATTCCAGACACCCAGAGATCTCTGCTGGGTCCTACATGTCTTTAAGACCCTCTGACACTGCTTGTGGCCTCCCCTAATCATGTCCCCAGAGCAGCCCACAGGCCTGAGAGTGGCCGTCATTCTTGGCTGTTTCCTTTGCCTTCCTTGGTCTTTATGGCCAACCTCCAGCTAACAAACAACAGTGTGCCCAGCACAGTTGCATCTGTCCGTTCAGGACAAATTTGTCTGTGTTAAAAATGAATCCCTTGGAGAAAAACCTTGACTAAATGACAACCCAAGTGGTGGCTGGATACAGCAAGCACCTGGGAGTGTTGGGGCTGCGAATGTGGTGTGGGGACCAGGGCTGCAGCATCAGGGTCATTGTGAGCATCGGGGAGCACAGGGGTCGGCCATTGGTCCAGGGGATGCAGAACTTGGAATCTGTCCCTTAACTGGATTTTCATTCTAGACAACTCCCTTCCCGTCCCAGACCCCATTTTGCAGGGCACTCTTCACGCCAGTTTGGCAACTCCAGGGGGCTGGATGCTCAGGAAAGCCATATGCTGCATTTTGGGAGGATGCCACAGAGCAGGGTGACACTGCACCAGTTCTCTGCAGTGTGCACCAATGCTGCAGTCTCTGCTCTAAGCAACCTGCCATTCTTGGCTCCTTCCTAGAAAGGTCAGTGAACCCCTGGTGGCTGGCCCTGGGGATACGAAGAGTTGGGGACTCTGATGGCACGTCTGCATTCTTTAAACACAGAACCCGGCACTGTGCAGTGAAAGGAGTGAGAAACAGAACTGACAAGAAGCCCCCTTCACAATACTCCAGGATCCTCACTTCAGTGGGGAGGGTGGGGTGGAGTGGGGTGAGAAGCTTTTCCACAAAGGATGGAAATTATTTGATACAACTCTTACTATCATTTGATCAACTGATCATCAGTTTAGGTTGCAATTTCCTTCAAGGGAAGAAGAAAATGGCAGTTGGTGGTCCCAATTATAGAAATGCACACTCATGAAATGAATTGTTTCTGCAAGAGCAGCACCTGTGGTGGCTGTTGGGAGCAGGTGGCACTGCAGCCGGCACACAAAACAACTATGCCACTGCCACTGGCCTCAGCAGCACAGTTCCAAGACCTCCTGTTTTCAGGACGATGATGGGTGCAGACATGCCACTGTCCCACAGGGAAAGGCACCAGAGGACAAGAGCTCCAATCCATGTTCTGCCCTACCTGCTACCACATGCCAGCCATTTGCAACAACCAAGAGAGAAGTCACCCCCAGTTCAAGAGGGCCGGGCTGCCTGGAGGCGCAGCTTCCCCCCAGCTGTCTCCTCTGCACAGTGCTTGCCTGATTATTTCTGTGCTCTGGGGCAACCCATGCAGAACCTGCCCTGACTCTGCAGGATCCAAGAAGAGGGGCTGCGTCCCGCACCAAGCAGGAGGGGCCCACTTACCCGCACCAGCTGCTGTGGGAAGGGCCCGCGGGAGTTTTCTGGAACGTTGATGGGAGGAATGACCCAGTCCCGCTTCTGGCGCCTCAGGCCGCTGGAGCTCTGATGCTGTGACCACGGCAACACTGTGTCTCTCGAGGGCTGAGAGGGGTCCAAAGCCACACTCGTCTTTCCTTTCTGCGCCATTATCCAAAGGAGAGAGAAGAGTCAAAGAAGACTGGTTAGGTTCTGCACAAAGGAAACAGGCCTGTTGAATCTGTGAATTTTGATTGATAGAGAAAGCTGAATAATGTGTTGTGTCAGGGGAAAAAAATCACTTGAATCAAGTGTGGTGGTGCATGCTTGCAATCCCAGCACTTAAGATGCTGAGGCAGGAGGGCCACAGGTTCAAGGCCAGCCTGGGCTACATAGCCAGATCCTTTCTCCAACAAAGGAAAGAATCACTCAAGACCTCATCTGCAGACAGTGGCGTGGATCACAGAGATAAATTGGGAGGAAAAAAGCCATCAAAAACTAGACAATAGAGTTGACTACTTAACTAGTAGTGTGAAAAAGGACTTTAAATTTTTTTTTTTTTTGGTGCTGGGGATTGAACCTAGGGCCTCCCCGTGCATGCTAAGCACACCCTCCACTTCTGAGCACAACCCAGCCTATCGGGTCTTTTAAGTTCAAAACAGTGGAAGGAACCACAAAGAAAAAGAGCAATACATTGTAATTTAAAACTCCTGTTTTTGAAAACATATCCTGAAAGCAAATGACAAACACATAAAACACCATTTATAACAAACTCGACCAAGGGTTAATGGTCTCTATGTAAAGAGCTCTTACAAATCAATAAGAAAAAATGAAATCTTTTTCCATAATGGGAAAAGGACATGAATACATAATTCATAGAAAAATAAATGTTAGTGATCAATAAACTTATGAACACTCTTCATGTCTTCCAGGAATCAAAAATGCAAATTAAAGCGGTAAATCCTTTTCAGAAGAGGAAGCAAGATTAATTCTCGGCACTGAGAAGGATTTGCCAGAGAGGGTGAGGGGGGAAGGAGTGGGATTTGCCATTAAGGACTGAGCTCCTCCCACTCGGGGGCACCCAGAGTCACGTGTCATAGAGTTAAGGTCCTCATCTCTCCGAACCCTGGTGTCCTCTTGTCTGAGATGGGGTGGTAACAGTAGCACTGGATTTGGAAACTAATTATATGACATTGAAGACATGCTTAGTCCACTCATAGGTGGCTGCACTGGTGTCACTGGGGCTCCACCTGCCAGCCCTGGGCTCAGCACGACTTCCCCACTTGCTTCCCAGTGACTATGCAGGTCCTCGACAACGAGCCTCCCTTTGACCATCAACTCCACACTGGCGGCCTTCCCGTGAAATTGTGCGGACACAAATTTGTGCCTAAAGATGTTTATGTAGATGTTTTCCAGCAGTGAAAATACCAGAAAAGGCCTGGCTGGCTGACAGTAAGTAACCTTGCTTTCCCAGCTGGGGACAGTGGAGTCACTGACAGCTACTCTTTGAAGATGTTGATGGAACATCCAGGACACATTAGCGAGTGGAGAAATGACAACAAAGTACATGTGTGGCATGAGTTCTAATTTTTTCTGAAGGATCCAAAGAGAACTGGGAGGAGGTACATCAAAACGCAAACGCTGCTTTTCTCTGGCAAGTTTCTCAGTGAGTTTTATGGGGTTTTACTGGGCTTGGTTCCTTTCACCACCCAGTATTTTCTGAATGTTTTAATGCACGCCCTATCGTTTAAACAGCCAACATCTGTGTACCTGCCACGTGTTCCTGCCCCGAGCTGCAGGTGGTACACTCAGCACAGCTCCATGGCTAGGGTCCATCTTACTTAGAGTCTCAGGGGCCCCACAGAAATGGACCTTGGACCAGGACAGCCCAAGGCAGAGGAAACCACACTGGCTAGGGACATCTGACCACAGGCTGCCCCTCTATTCATGGTCTGAGCTCCAGACCTGGGCAAGGTCACCAGATGGCCCCAATGCCACCTTCTTCAGACAAAGCGCCTTCCACTGCTTTGTGCATAAAGATTGCAGATAAAAAAAATATTCTCAAGCCCCTGCCACTCCTGCCACCCCTGCCACAGTGCCCACACTTAAAGCCACACCTGGACAAGCTGTATCCCTCCAGAGTCCTGCTCACATGCATGTGTTCAGGGGTTTGTGGCAATGAAAACCTGATGGGCTGCCATGACCCCCAGCCATTATCAGAAAGAGAGTGGGAGGTGTGAGCGGTCCAGGGGCCTGGATGTCTATGGAGACATGACACTGGCCATCCTCAGCTCAAATCAGACTTCCATGGACTGCTGGGGACCCCTGGAGATGGGAGAGGTCTTCTCTAGGCTCCTGTGTGACTACCGTGCAATGGCTTTAGGCCACACATGGCTGCACATTCTCCCGTGCCACCCAGGGCACAGCCAACAGCTTTTCATGGTTTTCTTGCTCAGATGCGCATTCAGTGCCTCACAGGTACTGAGCGTCAGGTGAGTGCTCTGCGTCCTGGGTACAATGCACAGGCCCATCCCTTGAAGGACTGGCCTCAGAGGGACAGCACTTCCCTGGGGCCTGGTTTCCCTTTGTCCTCCCTACCATGGACACAAGACAGTCTGGGCTGATGAGATGTAAGCTTTTGTGAAAAAGATCAGACTAATCCAGCAGCTAAAAGTACCTGGAGGCAACACAGAAACAGTAAACAGAACCAGCAGTAACAACCGGGACTACACCCTGACACGTAGGCTCCGAGGCAAATGCTGCCACGAGGTCTCTCCTTATCCTCCTGCCACCACCCAGTGGGGTACATCATTATCTTCACTTTACCAAGAAACAGGGAGCTCAGAGAGTCCAAGTAACTCCTGACAGTCACACAGCAACTTAGGTAGGGTTTGAACAAGTGCACTTGGAGTCCGATCCCAAGACCAGAGCACCTGGCCACGTGCCACCTCTCACTTCTGGGGTCTTGTGGCCTGTGGTGTGGCCTCCCCTTTGCCTGTCTTTATACGAGGTGTGCAGTGGACAGCTCAGAAGTGGACATTTCCACGTAAGGTAGGAGCAGTGGCCAAGGGAGTCTGAGGGTTGCCTCCCTGCCTGCAGGGCATCTTCAGAACCAAGCTGGGGCTGGGAGAGGTCTGAGTGCCCAGCTGCTCCTGGGCGGGCAGCTGAGCACAGAGAAGCTTCTCTGACATGCGCTCTCTTAGTTCCCAGGCCTTGCCAGTTTGAGAACCTCTTCACATACACACCTTATGGCAGGGCCTTTTGACACACAGGTAGTGAGACGCACCTGTCCCACTGCTGCCAGAGACAAGGATGGGTGAGTTTTCAACCTTGAGCCTGTCTGCTTTGGACACCTGGCCAGACTTGGCAAAGAACCGTATGTGTCAGGAGGAGGTGGGAGGGAGCCTAGACCCCTGAACACACCTCGGGGGAGCCAGGGGTGGGCATGGATTCTGGCCACCGCAGCCCCCTTTTCTCCCAGTGCGCGGTGAGGCCGGGGCCTGCTGGGCTGTCTCACCTGGAGGCACATCCCTGCTGGCGGCATCACTTGGGCCTCTGAATCTCAGATCTGGACCTGTATAGGGCTCTCATTCAGCCATTTTAAAAAACCTGCTTTATCCTCATTTGCTTGTAAAGAGCTTACTCGGTGTTAATTTCCCAAGTGTTGTTTAAATAAATTGCACATATTTTCTACTATTTTAAAGCTGTGAGACAAATGTAATAACAAAATCTGGTGAAAGTCAATGCCAGACCTGCACAGGCTTCTGCCTGGAAGACGTAAACCATCGATGGTAATTAGCGGTTATCCCGGAACAACAGGCATGTTCCTTTGAACATATGAAGATCTGGGCCGTTCATGTAAACACTGATGCAGAGTTGAACTAATTATAAAAAATGCTCCCTACCAGACAGACACCTGCCGATTCTCCCTGTTCTGAGTTTCTGAGTGAGGGATGTCTGAGGGTTGTTTAAGACATCCCACAGCATATCCACGTGTGGACAGGCACGTTGCATGGGTACACACATGTAGAGAGGTAGATGTTTGTGTGCACATGCAGGTGTGCAGGAATGCCTGGATATGCATACACACATACGTATGTGAGCACACAGGCAGGTGCATATGTGTTTATGTGTTACACACATGTGTAGACGTGTGTCTGTATGTCTCTCTGTTCATATGCTCCAATTTTCTCAAAATCAGCAGCCCAGCAGCACAAAGGGGTAGCGTTGGTGAGCACTGGCAGATGGCAGATGCTTTTGACCACAGTCAGAGAGGGACAGAGCTGTGGGGCTCATGGTCTGTTGGGGGAGCAGGATTCCCAGGGAGCAGCAGGGGAGGGGATGGGGGACACTGAGGCTGGGGAACCTGGTGAGCTGGATCTGGAGTAAGCCTTGCATGTTGGAAAAGGGTGGGGCTGGGGCAGACAGGCTTAAGACTGTCCTATAACCCTCACATCTTAGCCCCCAGGAAAGGAAATTGAGGCCCATGGAGGTGAAGGAACTTGTCCGATTTTCCTGGCTATCCACCGGGGTTCCTTCTTTGTGGCCTCAGCCTGAGGTTGGGGTGGTGGGAGAGGGTGGGGTGGCTCAGGGGAGGGCAGGCCTGAGCTTTCTGACCGAGCCCAGGCCTGGGGGCAGGGCCTGGTCTAGGTTCCTCTCTGGGGACCCAGCAGCATACCAGAGAACGAATAGCAGGCCCAGCACCCATGCCCTTTCCTTAGTTTCCTCTGAGGAGGACTGGGGTGGCCAGGCAATCAGATCATGGCATTTCACCTGGCCAAGTGGCTGCTCCTGGGAGCACAGGTGACCTTCAGCAGGGGACTTTCCTGGGTTTGCTGGAAGGGGTGACTATCATTCCATGGATAGGGGTCCAAGATGGGCAGGTGGGCACCTGGGGGCAGTGGATCTTGGGACTGGCCCCGAAGGCTGCATGGATCCATAGTCTTCTTCCACCTCTCTGGCCCCTCCCTTCTTCCTGACCCTCGCCCTTGGCAGTGCAATCCCTTGAGTGCCATCCATGCTCTGACCAGAGTCCTACAGGCACTGAGCCCTGTCTGAATGCCTCTGGGGGTTGTTTCTTGACCTTTGTTTCTGGTCACACGTGGCCTCCTGGGTGTCCCTGGACACGCAGTCTAACACCCTCCTTTTGGCTCTCCCTGTCT